AAGGACTTGACCACCCTCCCCCCCTCCCCCGTTACTTTCCCAGGCCACAAGCAGGCAGCTGAACAGGAAGTTGGGCAGCCAGAATTCCTATCAGTGCCCAAATGGGATGCTGGGGCCACAGCCTGAGGCCATGGAATCAGTCCCAAAATAAACATTTTTTAAAAATTATTTATTTTCAGAGCCCAGTGCGGTGGCCTAGCGGCTAAAGTCTTGCCTTGAATGCACAGGATTACCATAAGGGCGCCAGTTCGTATCCCGGCAGCCCAGCTTCCCATCCAGCTCCCTGCTCGTGGCCTGGGAAAGCAATAGAGGACGGCCCAAAGCCTTGGGACCCTGCACCCGCCTGGGTGACCCAGAAGAAGCTCCTGGCTCCTGGCTTTGGATTGGCGCAGCTCTGGCCGTTGCGGTCACCTGGGGAGTGAATCATCGGGTGGAGGATCTTCCTCTCCCTCTCCTCTCTGAATATCAGATTTTGCAATAAAAATAAATAAATCTTTTAAAAAGTAGGCATTTAAGAAATTATTTATTTTCTTTTTTAAAGATTTATTTTTATTATTTTGTTATTGGAAAGGCGGATGTACAGAGAGGAGAGACAGAGAGGAAGATCTTCCGTCCGATGATTCACTCCCCAAGTGAGCGCAACGGGTCGATACTACGCCGATCCGAAGCCAGGAGCCTCTTCTGGGTCTCCCACGCGGGTGCAGGGTCCCAAAGCTTTGGGTCGTCCTCGACTGCCTTCCCAGGCCACAGGCAGGGAGCTGGAAGGGAAGCGGGGCTGCCGGGATTAGAACCGGCGCCCATATGGGATCCCGGGCGTGCAAGGCGAGGACCTTTAACCACTTGCGCAACCGCGCCGGGCCCAATTATTTATTTTCAAAGATTTATTTTATCCCATAAAATAAATCCCATATGGGTGTTGGTGTGTATCCCAGCTGCTCCACCTCCCACCCAGCTCCCTACCAGTGGCCTGGGAAAGCAGAGGAGGACGGCCCAAAGCCTTGGGACCCTGTACCCACATGGGAGACCTGGAAGAGGCTCCTGGCTCCTGGCTAAGTGGACTAAGATCCACAATACCAGGCTGACTTAAAGAAAAAAAGACAGTATGACTACAGTCATGTGAAATTCAGACAAATCCCAATTGAGGGCTTTCTACAAAATACCTGGACAGAACCGACCTGGTCATAAAACAATCAGAAACATCAAGGTGCGGGGTAGGAAAGGACACCTGACAACAGCAAGATGGGCACACAGCGTGTTAGGTAAACTAAGGCACAATGATAGCAGCGAGGGTGGGAACACAGCACCTTAGGTAAACTGAGGCACACCAGACAGCAACAAGGGCGGGAACACAGCATGAGGTAAACTGAGGCACACTGACAGCAGCAAGATGGGCACACAGCGTGTTAGGTAAGCTGAGGCACAGTAACAGCAGCGAGGGAAGCACACAGCATATTAGGTAAACTGAGGAAGCCTGGGGACAGGAAGCAGTCACTCAGCCAGTGCTCAGTGTTGGGGCACAGCTGACACGCGCCCCCCACAGGCCATAAACACCCCAGCCGGCTCTGCACGCCCATGCGCAGACCGTTATCACCCACACCCAGGGCACCACACCCAGGGCACCCACACCCCGGTCACCCACACTGGTCACCCACACCCATCACCCACACCCCGGTTACCCACACCCAGGGCACCACACCCCGGTCACCCACACCCATCACCCACACTGGTCACCCACACCGTCACTCACACCGTCACTCACACTGGGTCACCCACACCGTCACTCACACCCCAACCACCCACATCCAGGTCACCTACACCCAGGGCACCACACCCCGGTCACCCACACCCGTCACCTACACCCCAGGCACCCACACCGGTCACCCACACCCAGGGCACCACACCCTGGTCACCCACACCCCAGGCACCATACCCCAGTCACCCACACCCAGGGCACCACACCCCGGTCACCCACACCCAGGGCACCACACCCCAGGCACCCACACCCAGGGCACCACACCCCGGTCACGCACACTGGGTCACCCACACCGGTCACCCACACCCATCACCCACACCCCGGTCACGCACACTGGGTCACCCACACCCAGGGCACCACACCCCGGTCACCCACACCCAGGGCACCACACCCCAGGCACCCACACCCTGGGTCACCCACATCCCGGTCACCCACACCCTGGTCACTCACACCCCGACCACCCACACCCCGGTCACGCACGCCCCGGTCACCCACACCCCGGTCACGCACACCCGGGCACCCACACCCCGGTCACGCACACCCCGGTCACGCACACCCCGACCACCCACATCCCGGTCACCCACACCCCGGTCACGCACGCCCCGGTCACCCACACTCCGGTCACGCACACCCGGGCACCCACGGCGCAGGAGGGAGAAATGGCGAGAAGCCCGCGCACCTGTCCCAGTTGGGGTCCCAGACGCCCGGCGGCCGCGCGCTCCCGTTCCACGCCGGCGGCTCGGCCGCGCGCGGCTCCGCGTCCCCCCCGGCGCGCGGCTTGCCCACCGCCACGGCCGAGAAGAGCACGGCGGCCGAGCCCCCGGCCAGCCCGCAGGCCGCGAGCTGCAGCGCCTGCCGGAACGCCATGCCGCCCACGGCCCGGCAGCCGCTTCCGGCCGCCGAGCGGAAGTCCCGTCTCCGCGCGCGGGGGCCGCCGGGAGCGGCGCGCTCGCTCGGGTTTATATCTGTGTTTAAAGTCATTGCGTCACTTGGGGAGCGAATCATCGGACCGAAGATCTCCCTCTCTCCTCCTCTCTGTATATCTGACTTTGATACAAATAAATCTTTTAAAAGTTTAAAGAAAGAGTTCATTTGTGGAACGGCAGATTTACAGAAAAGGAGAAACAAAGATCTTCTGTCCTCTGGTTCACTTCCCAAGGGGCCACGACGACTGCAGCTGAGCAGATTTGAAGCCAGAAACCAGGAGCTCCTCCAGGTCTCCCACGCGGTGCAGGGTTCCAAGGCCTTGGGCCGTCCTCTGCTTTCCCAGGACACAGGCAGGGAGCTGGATGGGAAATGGAGAGGCCGGGACACATGCCGACACCTTTATGGGACGCCGGCACAAGCAAGGGGAGGACTTCAGCCACTAGGTTATCATGTCGGTCCCTAAATGGTTCATTTAAAAAAAAAAATTTATTTTTATTATTATTTTTTTTTATTGGAAAGGCGGATATACAGAGAGGAGAGACAGAGAGGAAGATCCGCCCGATGATTCACTCCCCAAGTGAGCGCAACGGCCGATGCTATGCCGATCTGAAGCCAGGAGCCTCTTCCGGATCTCCCACGTGGGTGCAGGTTCCCAAAGCTTTGGGTCGTCCTCGACTGCTTTCCCGGGCCACAGGCAGGGAGCTGGAAGGGAAGCAGGGCTGCCGGGATTAGAACCAGCGCCCATATGGGATCCCGGGCGTTCAAGGCGAGGACCTTAACCACTTGTGCCACGGCGCCGGGCCCGGTTCATTTTTTTTAAAATTAATTTTGAGGGTCCGGCACGGTAGTCTAGCAGCTAAAATTCTTGCCTTGCACACACTAGGATCCCATATGGGCACTGGTTCTAATCCCAGCAGCTCCATGTCCCTTCCAGTTCTCTGCCTGTGGCCTGGAAAAGCCGTCTAGGACGACCCAAAGCCTCAAGACCCTGTACCCGTGTGGGAGACCTGAAAGAGGCTCCTGGCTCCTGGCTTCAGATTGGTTCAGCTCTGGCCGTTGCTGCCACTTGGGGAGTGAACCATCGGACAGATTTTCCTCTCTGTCTCTCTCCTATCCTTTGCTGCAGGCTGGTTGGGGTTGACTCTTCCACCGAGTCCTGTCAGCAAAGCAGCACAGCTGAGCTCCACAGCCTCACACCCTGAGAGTCCACCTTGATTTCCTGGGGACCTGCAGCTGTGAGGAACCACCTGATTCAGCCCAAGAGGACGTAAATCCGTGTCAGAAATCTATTACCTGTGCAAATCGCATGTCTCACTGCATGAGGGAGGTGTTGGCCAGGCTGCCCGCCAGAGTTCGGCAGTGCTCCTGCGTCCCCTGGGTGCTCCCCTCCTGTCCCGGGGCATCTGGGGAAGGTGCTCTGATCTTAGCAGTCCGTGCTAATGGCTGAACTCCCCGAAATTCCAGGACAACCTCTATCTCAAGACTCTTAATTACATCCACAAAAATCCCCTTTCCACCAGGGAAGCTAAAATTGTCAGGTAATGGGGTTTGGGTGGTAGACACCCCGTGCCCGTCCTATCATGCTTGCAGCTCAGGGTGGCTGCCCTCAAGTCCCATCACCCCCTCCACCAAGGTGTCTCTCCCTCAGCCTGCTTCCTCCTCACTGTCCTCATGTGTCCCGGCAGTCTGTGGCAAGCTCAGACCCTTAAGTGTCACCTGTTTGCAGCATCTGGGACCATACCCTTCCTCCTCCCAGGCTCAGTTCAGTTGCTTCTCCTAAAGATGAACTCCATGGTCTGCTGAGACTGAACTAGTGCTCATGGGGGATGTTAGCAATGCAGGCAGCAGCCTGAACTGCTGTGCCACAGTGCTGGCCCTTGATTACATTCTGACTGAACCTTAAAAGAGAAGGAGAGAAAGGTCTTCAGCTAGCTGGGGGATGCTGTGTCCTCACTGTGCAGCCATGGAGGGTTTACAAGGGCAGCGACCCATTCATGAACGACTCAATGGCTCAACACCACTGTGTAAGACCCTGCAATGAGAACCCCTACTAGAAGCCTAGAACCAGACCAATAACGGCAGTGGAATGGTGGGTACCACGGGTAAGGGAGATGCGGAGTAAGGAGTCAGTGTTTCACAGGACAGATTTAGTTTGGGCAAATGGAAAAGTCCTAGAAATGTGTGGCGAGTATGGTGACTCCAGTCTATGCCACTGACCTGTGCACTTACATGACCAATGTTACATGTATTTCACAACACATAAACACACACACAAATCTGACTACCTCTTTCTTACAAAACAAAGAATAAATTCTGAGAATTTCTCAGAAGATTTAATTTAATTTAAAGTCATCACCAAAGAAGCTACATTAGTTTATGTGATCCTAATTGTATCCATCACGTTTTGAGTTTGCGATGTCAGCTGCAAGATTCTAACATTGAGAGATTTTTGCTTCATCATCTAAAATTTTATGACATGTTGAATCACATTTAGTCGGATAAAGTCCTGACTGGGTTGGCTCTGTCCCTCTCACAGTGCACACAATATTCTCCCCAGGCCATTGTCACTTCCCCAGAGAGGCCAGGTAGGTGTACCAGAAGAGAGCCACCAGGTTGGCAAAGAGCACCCGGAACTGCCAAAGAGAAGTCAGACAAGCTGGGTAAGTGAGAGCCATGCCCATTTGTCAAGCACCAGTCACCCTGGACAAATCTCATTGTTTTGTCTTACATGTTGAATGGTCATCCACCTACCTGCCCATCTACTGTCTTCCCGGAGTGCACCTGACAGGAGCCCTTCCCTGACCCTCCCCTCTCACCCACAGCCATCCCACTGTGCTGCTGACAGACTTGCCTCCTGCTGTAACTGAGAGCCCTCTGCCACTTCTTAGTATGTATGTATGTCAGTGTGTGTAGACTGGCTATAATGCAGGTATATGGGGATGAGTGTGCTTCACATGTGTCACTGTGTATAGGCATTTTGCAAATACTTGTGTGGTATGTGCAGCTGCTGCAGTACATGTGTATTGCACACACACGTGTGTGGTATGTGCAGCTGCTGCAGTACATGTGTATTGCACACACACGTGTGTGGTATGTGCAGCTGCTGCAGTACATGTGTATTGCACACACACGTGTGTGGTATGTGCAGCTGCTGCAGTACATGTGTATTGCACACACACGTGTGTGGTATGTGCAGCTGCTGCAGTACATGTGTATTGCACACACGTGTGTGGTATGTGTAGCTGCTGCAGTACATGTGTATTGCACACACACGTGTGTGTGGTATGTGCAGCTGCTGTGGTACATGTGTATTGCACACACGTGTGTGGTATGTGCAGCTGCTGCGGTACATGTATGTCTCTGCACCCTGGCCTGCCTTCTTGCTACTCTTTCAAGAGTTAACAGATCTGTATAGAAGAATGGCTCTGGACTGGCAGTGAGAATTCTGTGAGGTTTCCCACAGGGAGGCTCACTTTGTCTTAGCTGTGGGTCACTGCAGTCTGCTTTTCCAGCAGTGGGGGAGGAGCCTGTTGAGCAGAACCCAGCCCAGGGGCTCCACAGGAGAACTGTTGTGTGAGCCCTGTAAGAGGGCAGAGTGGAATCCATGCTCTGCCAACCCTTCTCCCTTACTGTTCATCAGGGTCTGAGCTATGCTGGCCCCCAAACTGCTAAAGTACCCCTGAGTTTGGTGTAAGGACAGCTGGAAATGGTCACGCTTACAGCAAACTGGGCACCAGGGGCAGGACCCACACAAGCTCTGGAACAGATCAAAATTCCAACACTTTTTGTCTGCCTGTCACCAGCTGCCTCCACAGCGACTAACCCTAACCCTAACCCTTTCCGCCCAGAAGTTGCTGAAAGGCTCTCAGACAAGGTCCCCCCTGGCTCTGCCCAGTCCCTGGGAATCCTGAAGGCCACTCAGGAGTGGCTTTGTGGCTGCAGGTGAGACATGACACATGCTCCTGCTGGCTTTTGTCCCACGTATACTACATAACACCTGCAGTTTCAAGTCCACAGGCCAAGAGGGTGCACTTGGCCCAAGGGCTGTTTAATAGAATTTGCTGAACTGGGTACTGTATGACAAATATTTAGGAGACACTTATTGTTATTGATTCATGGTGGCGAGCAAAGCCCAGTTATGGACCAGAAGTCCAAAAGTTGGGATGAAAAAAGGGCTTAGGAAAATTTACAGCATGCTGGGACTAAGAAAAAAAAAAAAAAGGTTGATGGGAAACAAAGTCTGGCAGAGCTTGAGCCCTGGCCCTCACTCACCTGTAGAGGGACATAATTGATGTTAATGAACTGCAAGGGTGTCCACACTTTCCAGTTCATCTGCAGAGCTGGCCAGAAGCTGCTCCTCATCTTGGCCACAAAAGTTGACATGCTCTTCCCCTGCAAAGGAGGGGAGTGTGTGGTGAGTGATACCTCCCTCCATCAGAGCTGTAGTAACAGGCGGGATTTTAGACTGGCATTTGACTTAAGGAGCGTGCAGCCATAGGAGACAACCAGTGCTTGGGAAGTCCACAGCTCATGTGGGGACTGTCTGGAGTGCTAATTAGAGCATGTTTCCCAACAAAGCACACCCTTGAAGGTAGGAAATGATGACTCAAGAACTTGAACTCCTCCCCCCGCAAAAAAATTCAATTCCATCCACCCACATGGGAGACCTGGCTAGGAGCCTTGGCCCCTAACTTCTGTTCAGCCTAGGTTGGCTGTGGTAAGTATTTAAGGAAGTGAATCAGCAGGTCAGAGACATCTTTATAAGCCTTTCAAGTAAGTGGGGGGAAACAATGTGAAACTTTGAGTCTAGATAATGGCCTAAAAAGATGAGAATCAGAATGTGATAAAGTTGCCATCTTCAGGCCAGCACTGTAGTATAGCAGGTGGAGTTGCTGCCTAGGATTCTAGTATTCTGAACGTGCTCTGCCAGTCTGCACAGGAAAACAGCAGCAAATGGTCCAAGTATTTGAAAGTTCACCTCCCACATGGGAGAAAAACATGGCTCCTGGCATGGACTGACACAGTTCTGTCCACTGCAGTCATTTGGGGAGTGAACCCCAGGATAGAAGATCTCTCTTTTCTCTGTAAAACTCCACCTGTAACATAGATAAATGTATCTTAGGTAAAGTTATAATTTCAAAATACTGGGGGTTTCAATAAGTGATAATGAGACAAACTGCTACATAAGTGTGAAAATAAAAACAAAAGTTAAAAAATCAAAACAGAAGTCTATTTGCAATTACAAATAAAACAAAATCACAAGGCTATTAAAGGGAACAACAGAATAGTATCAAGATATACCAGCATTGTGGCATTCTGAGTAAAGACACCATTGGCAACACTGGCATCCCACCTGAGCACCTGGCTGAGGTACTTTCTCCAGGAGCTCCCTGCTGATGCTTTGGCTTGGCCCAGCCATGGCTATTGCTACCAGTCTCTCTCTATGACTTGCCTTGAGGTAAAAAAAATAAACCTTAACAAAATTATTTCAAAGAATACACAAAATGATGTAAGTAGAAGAAAGTACATGAGCTGATTTCCAATACCTTCCCATAAGAAGGTCCATAATGGAGACCCAGCATAATAGCCTACTGGCTGCAGTCCTCGTTTGTACGTGCCAGGATCCCATATGGGTGCCTGGTCACATCCTGGCTGTTCCACTTCTCTTCCAGCTCCCTACTTGAGGCCTGGGAAAGCAGGACAGCCCAAAGCCTTGGGACCCTGCACCTGCATAGGAGACCTAAAAGAAGCTCCTGGCTCTCGGCTTCAGATCAGCTCAGCTCCAGCTGTTGTGGCCACTTGGAAAGTGAACCAGCAGATGGAAGGTCTTTCTGTCTCTCCTTCTCTCAGCCTTTCCAATAAAAATAAATAAATAAATCTTAAAAAGAAAAAAAAAGTCCACAAAGGAAAAGAATATCAGGATTGAATATATGAGTTTTAAAAACTTACCAATGGGAAAAACTTCATTACTATAATTTAAAAATTTAATTTTATATCAATGTTTTAGCTTTACATGAAATTATAAGGTAAGCATCTGAACAAGGCCAAAAATTATTTGAAGTTTGTTTTTGGTAAAGGATTGATAACAGCTTAGAATTGCAGGCTGTCATGATCCTGCAGGGGCCACAAGCAGGGTCGGTCATTTTGGGGACCAATTTTAGAAATTAACCAGAAATTCTTACAGGCTTACACAAAGTCACATATTGTGCAATATACTATCAAAAACACGGGATGCAAGTTCTGTGCCTCTCCTGAATGTTGTTTCCCAATTCTTTCTTTAGATCAGGGAAATTTTCCCTCATTATTTCATTAAATACATTTGTAAACCCAGCTTCTGTTTCTGCACCTTCTGGGACTCCCATAACTCTTATATTTGGCCTTTTAATAGTGTCTTTCAATTCATGAGTATTTTCTTTTTAGCCTGACCCAGCTCTGCTTCTAGCTTTTTGTTTGTTTCCCCATGGTGACAGAAAATATCTTCTAATTTTGAGATTCTTCTGCCTCCTTCATTCTATTTTGGAGACTCTCCGCTGTACTTTTAATTTGTACTGTATTCTTTGTTTCTGACATATCAGTTTTCATTTGATTCATTTCCTGTGTGACATATTCTTTAAATTCTTTGGCTGCTTTACATGCTTCTCATTGTTGATAAGAAGTTTCCTATTTTCTCGATGTCTTCCTCAGTGAATTCTGAGGTTGGCAAAGGGTTTTGCCTCTTTGCAGGGGAGTCTTCAATGGTATCACGGCGAGTACCAGGAATGATTACCCCAGGGAGTACCAGTCTGGGGACCAGGGCGTTGATTACTAGAGTGATGCAGAGCAGTCCAAGATTTGTCCATTGTTCCTATTGAGTGAGAACCAAGCTAGCCTTGAGTAATTTTTATCTCGTCTCCCTAAAACACTATTATGCTTAATATACCTAAAAAAGAAAAATTGCCTTACTTACATTCCTTTTTCCTTTCTCTGCCTCTTCCCTCAATAGTTGCCTTTTAGTGCTGTAACAGTTAAATACTACAGCATAACCAGTAACTCGAACATGAAGTAAAAAGGAATACTGTGAAAGGGGAATACTCTTGTACAGCCAATTCTTTTACTTAAAGTTGGTATTTTCAAACAATAGGGTGGTTTTTTTTTTGATAGTTCAGTATATCTGGTTTCTACATGGAAGACTAAATTCATGCTTGGTGCTAATCGTGGTTTTTGCCAACTAAATCTAAGATATGCAGCATTTTAGGAATTTACATATCAGTGTTTCTATAGTGTTGTTTGTTAATTTTTTAATAAAGTCCTGATCAGTGTGCACCTGCGGTAATATGTGTACTCATTCTCGCACCTACGCTGACAAGATCTTTTGGGAACAGTATTGCTGAAGGAGCCCGTGCGAAGGAGCATGTGTGGAAGGGGCCTGCACACTTCCGGGTCTGGGCGGTGCATGCTCTTCTTTTCTGTGCCAATGTATCAATATAGAGTTGCTCTGTTTTCTTCAACTGTATTTATTGCTGCATTTCTCAGCATAAACTTATCCCATTGTATTTTTTATAAATAAATATTTTTTTTGAACATTCAAAAAAAAATCTTTTTTCTTTTGCTCTTGGTCATTGTACTTCTGGTTATTAGATTCTTCTCCTTGGGGCAAGTTTCTAAGCTCTGTCATAGTAGCATGTTATTTAAGTTCATGGTGTTGTTCACTTGTTTTTCCTTCCTGTTTTGTGGCTTTTCATTTAAGGGGATGTATAGTAACTGTGTAATGGAGACTATCATATCCAGATGTGAGGATACAACGCAGTATGCATCTCTTCTTCCAGACAAAGATGGACTCCCAATGAAACTGTTTACTATATTTTGACAATAGGATGCTGGACTCTCTGTCATTGTCCATGCCCACAATAATGGACATATGACTGTGTATGAAGAACTATACTATAATAATGATATAGGGAACTCAGTGAGGGGGAAGGGGAACTGGGGATGGGATAAGGGAAATACCAGGGCCTATGGAACTGGATCATAAAATGATAACAATAAAAAGTAAACAAACAAAAACACAGGATGCAAAAGCACTGTAGGGTGTCTGTGGAGTGACCCACCATATCATTTACCTTACATACTTGGGAACATTTGGTATATATGTGCAGGTTTTTTACATTATTTATTTACGTATGTATGTGAAAGGTTGAACACAAGAGAGCGAGAGAAAACTGGGGGAGGAGGGACAAACACAGTGGAGGACAGACAGAGCCAAAGATCTTCCATCCAGTAGTTGATTCCCAGTGGCTACAGGTCTGGGCCAGGCCAAAGCTAGGAGTCCAGACTCGACTCTCTTTCCTACACGAGTGGCAGGGACCCATTCCAGGCACTAGAAGAAGCTGGCAATGAAAGCAACAGCTTAATCTGCAACATGAGATCAGCACGTCCACCATCTTTTTGTTTTTGCTTTTGTATTTTCCCTTTAAATTTTAAAGGAAATATGAAAACACTCATACTTCCTTTTTAAAAAAGATTTATTTATTTTTATTGGAAAAGTGGAACAGATTTATGGAGAAACAGAGATTTTCCTTCCACTGGTTCATTTTCCAAATGGCTGCAATTATCCAAGGCCAGAAGCCAGGAGCTGTTTCTGGGTCTCCCACGCAGGTTCAGGATCCCAAAGCTCTGGGCCATCTTCCAGTTTTCCAAGGCCACAAGCACGGAGCTGGATTGGAAGTGGAGCAGCCAGAACTTGAACCAACATCTGTATGGGACCCTGGTTCTTGCAAGGCAGAGTATTGGATAATCAAGCCATCACAATGGGACACTGGGCTTTCAGACTTCCTTTTTTAAAAGAGTGACAGATTTGCAAGCCAGAATACCAGAAAAAGAGGGAGAAAGAGAAGGAGGAAAAATCCATCTTCTATCCCTGGGCTCCCTCTCCAAATGGCCACAATGGCTGGGCTGGGCCAGGAAAGTTGTAAGACTCCTGGAACTCCATCCAGGTCAAGCCCAGGTACTCAGACCATCTTCTGCGCTTTTCCAGGTAAATCAGTAGGGAGCCAGCAGGATTCGAAGCAGAGCAGCCAGGAGTCAAGGTGGCCCTCTAATGTGGAATGCCAGTATTGCACGTGATGGCTTAATCTGGCCTCACATATTTCTTTAAAATTTTTAAAATTTATTTTCTCCTTTTTTGTTTTTTTCAAAAAGCAGAAAAAAGATAGAGAAGGATCTTCCATTCAATGGTTTACTCCCTCCCAAAGACTTTCACTGATAAGCCAAATTCAAAGTTACCCACATTTCTAAAGTGTGGGACCCTTTGCTTCCTCTGAAATCAGATTTGCTAAGGATTTACAATCCCAATCCTCTCAGGACCACTTGAAACAATAACCAGTTCTCCTTAGGCCACAAAAAGTTACTAGGCTGTTTCAAAATAAAATCCCAGAGAGAAGCATTTACCTTGCTGTAATGATCAGAACAGATTACTTCAGGACTGAACAAGTTTTAGACACTCTCTGGACTGATGAGGGTCTCAGAGCTCACAAGGCAGCAGGCTGCACACAGTTTAAAAAGTGGCCAGGCCTGACAACTACACATGAACGCATGTCCTCGCAGCACAGCTGATTTCCAAATTTACGTTCATAGATCGACCTCTTCAGAGCGCTTACAAAATGGAGGCACTGAGTCTGAAGAGACTTTTACAACATCAGGATGGGTTCTTTTTGTCACACTATAGACCTCCCAGGCCACTAACACATTCTCAGAATCCTGTCTTATAATCTATAAAACGAAATGTACAAAACTACAAAGAAACAGTTACCAAAATATTCAGAAAATAGCTTCATAATAGATTAATATAATGTTTATTAATATCCAAGAGAAGACCTATGGGTAGGCCCAAGTAGAAATGAACAAAAATAGCATTTCAAGGTATCTTAGCAATTGACACCTGCTATCAAAATATTTCTGATTTTCATTGGAGGAAAATTTTTCTGGTCCGGCGCAATAGCGTAGCAGTTAAAGTTCTCTCATTGAATGCACTGGGACTCCATACGGCCACTGATTCTAATCCTGGCAGCCCTGCTTCCCATCCAGTTCCCTGGGAAAGCAAACACAGCCCAAAGCCTTGGGACCCTGCACCCGCGTGGGAGACCCGGAAGAAGCTCCTGGCTCCTGGCTTCAGATTGGCTCAGCTCCAGCTGTTGAGGCCACTTGGGGAGTGAACCACCGGATAGAAGATCTTCCTCCCTGTCTCTCCTCCTCTCTGTATATCTGCCTTTCCAATGAAATAAATAAATCTTTAAAAAAAATAGATACTGTTCACAACACTGTGGTTTGTTTCCTACATGTATAAGGGAAAATGCATAATGTCTGCATGTATGGGAAGTGCCCTCCACATTCTGGCTGGGTTAGGGTTATGACTCCTGTGCTCAGGCAGGGGCTGCCCCAGTGCTGTCTGACACCGACCTCCAAGAAGTTCATGATGAGGAAGAAGGACAACAGAAAGGCTGGGGCGAAGAGCAGGCGGTCCAGGAGCAGCCGCTTCACTCCTGCCAGGTGACTCTCAGGAGGGATCCAGGTGTCCATGAGGAGGTAGAAGAAGTGGCTCACGGGTCCTGTGAAGAAGAACCTGAGGCCCCGTGGAGGGTGTGAGCTGCGCCGAGGGTCCCCGAGGCCCCGTGGAGCAAGTGGGCTGTACCATGGATCTCCGGGCGTGGCCCTCTCTGGGCAGCTTCCCGCTCACATCCCAGGCCCTAACCCTTGCCTCCCTGTGTCCCTCAGCATGGACCCCAAGCTGCTGTTTGACCTCCTAGGAGTTTTCAATGTACTTCTCCAGGCACCCTTCCTTCCCCTCCAACAGAGCAAAGCTATTCCTGGCATGGTGCTCTGCTCCCCAGTGCTTCTCCACCAGTCTTTCTGAGAGTGGCCTGTTCCTTCTCAACACTGCCAGCTCTACGTGACCCTTTCTTGTCACCCTAGGCCACTCCACCTTGTTCCATTCTGCATAGCTCTGTCCATATCTGTCCATTTGGGCATGGAGTGCCCTCTTCAGCACATGGTTGTGTTCACAGTGCCTGATTGTAAAGGGATATCTACTCACCAAAAAAAGATGTAGGGCCCAGCGCAGTAGCCTAGTGGCTAAAGTTCTCACCTTGCATCCACCAGTATCGCACATGGGCACCAGTTCTAATCTCAGTAGCTGCACTTCCCATCCAGCTCCCTGCTTGTGGCCTGGATAAGCAGTCAAGGATGGCCCAAAGCCTTGGGACCCTGCATCTGCATGGTAGACCTGGAAGAGGCTCCTATCAGCTTCAGATCAGTTCAACTCCAGCCATTGTGGCAGCTTGGGGAGGGAATCATTGGACAGAAGATCTTCCTCCCTGTATATCTGACTTGCCAACAAAAATAAAATAAATCTTAAAAAAAAAAAAAGGAAAGAAACAGATGTGCATGTTCCTGGTTTTACAGCTTTTTATCAAACTCTAGAGGGACAGGCAAGATTGGTAAAACTAAGTGATGTCCACTGATTTGTACTGATTGATACTCTAGGTGAGAGAGGACCAGAATGATGGTGTAGCACGCTAATCCTCTTGTCTATGGCGCCAGCACCCCATTTGGGCACCTGTCTAATCCTGGCTACTCTAATTATTTTAAGATTTATTTGCTTTTATTGTATAGCCAGATTTTCATAGAGAAAAGACAGAGAAAGATCTTCCATCTACTGCTTCACTCCTCAAGTGGCCATTAACAGCCAGAGCTGAGCCAATCCAAAGCCAGGAGCCAAGAGCTTCTTCTGGGTCTCCCACGCGGGTGCAGGGTCCTAAGGCCCTGGGCTGTCCTCTTCTGCTTTCCCAGGCCACAGCAAGGATCTGGAGGGAAGTGGGGCTGCAGGAACTAGAATCGGCATCAAATGGGATCCCAGTGCATTCAAGGCGAGGACTTGAGCACTTGAGCCACTAGGTCACCACGCTGGGCTCTGGAAATCTTTTAAATAAGTGGTTCTCAGTTGTGTTTTCCCACCTCGCTGTAGAACATCTACTGGACACATTCACTAGAACGAACGCCTAGGGGAGACTGGGTAGCTAGGTCAGGTCTCCGACGAGAGCCCCTCCAGCGGAATCACTGCTTTCAACACATGACATAGAGACAATGCTGACTCAAAGTGGCATGCTTACAAGAATACAGACAGTGTGTGAACTCTCAGTGTTTGAAAGATTAATTTATGATACTAACAGCCAAAGAGCTCAGGGTAAAGGACTTTGTCAAAGTCAGAAAGTGGCTCAGGAACGGACAACTCCCGGAATACAGTACTATTTTTGTGGATATTTGCATCACGAAAAGAACAGAACTGGCTAGTCATATTCAGCTGATCTTCAGATGTTTTGCAAAACCTTCAGTTTTCAATTTAGGTCAGTAATATGCACTCAGATTTCTGTCTCTCTCAACACAATTAAGACAGCTATTCCTGGGCCCAGCACAATGGCACAGTGGCTAAATTCTTACCTTGCAAGTTCTGGGATTCCATCTGGGAACTAATTTGTGTCCCAGCTGCTCCACTTCCCATCCAGCTCCCTGCTTGTTGGCCTGCGAAAGCAGCAGAGGAGGTCCAAAGCCTTGGGACCCTGCACTCATGTGGGAGACCTGGAAGAGCTCCTTGCTTCTGGTTTCAGACAGGATTGGCTTGGCTCTGGACACTGTGGCCACTTGGGGAGTAAACAAGCAGAGATATTTCTCTCTGAATTTACCTTTCCAGTAAAAATAAACATCTTAAAAATATATATGGCCATTCCTATTGATTCGATTCAACATAAAAACTTTAACAAGGATATATATACCACATAAACTACATAAGGTCTTCTGGCCTGCCCCATAATGATTCACTATTTTAAAAACTATTTTTGCAAATTATATTTTTCCATACACTTGGTCTACTTAACCAGTTACAGGGTAAACCTGCCCCCCCCCTTTTAAAAGATTTATTTATTTTTATTGCAAAGTCAGACATATAGGAAGAGGAGAGACAGAGAGGAAGATCTTCTGTCTGATGATTCACTCCCTAAGTGGACTCAACCGCTGGAGCTAAGCCAATCCAAAGCCAGGAGCCAGAAATTTCTTCCGTGTCTCCCACACAGGTACAGGTGCAGGGTCCCAAGGCTTTGGGCCATCCTCGACTGCTTTCCCAGGCCACAAGCAGCAAGCTGGATGGGAAGTGGGGCTACCGGGATTAGAATCGGCACCAAACAGGATCCTGGTGCATGCAAGGCGAAGCATTGAGGCCCTGAGTTACCATGCCCAGCCCAAACATGCTCCCTCCTACATTTACTCACCCATAAATCGCATATCTGAGAGGCTCATTCCATACACTTGGTCTACTAAATCAGATATGGGGTAAACCTGCCCTCTTGTGATTACTCACCCATAAGCCGCATATCTGAGAGGCCTAGTGACATCCAGATTTTGTGAGTTTTCTCTTTTTCGCTTCTCAATCATCTGGGCCAAGATGTTCCCAAGTGCTGACAAAATGCCACTGTCAACAAAGAGGGAGATCAGAAAGGAAGGGCAACCAGTACTCTCTCTGGTCCTGTGTGCTCTGAGATTATACTAAGGTGGGCATGGATTGAACCTCCTTGCTTTTCAAAAATTATTTATCTTTATTTGAAAGGCAGATTTACAGAGAAGCAGAGACAGAGAGAGGTCTTCCATCCACTGGTTCACTCCCCAAATGGCCACAAGAGAGCTGAGCCAGGATCTGAAGCCAGGAGCCTGCGGCTTCCTCTCAATCTCCCACCACTGCTTTCTCAGACCATAAGCAGAAAACTGGATAGGAAGTGCAACAGCTGGGAGGAGATCTGGCACCCCACATTGAGGCTTACCACACTAAGTCCTGTGTGAGCCTCAGAAGGATCCTTATGCAGGCGTCAATATAAAGTCCTTCTCTCTCTCACCCACACACATTCCACAGGTGGACAACCAATTTCCAGCTGGTGAACTATAAATGTCACTATTGGGGGGCGGGCACTATGGTCTAGCACCATCAGCTGCTGTGACTCCAGCATCCCACAAGGGCACCAGTTCAGATCCAGCTAAAGGCCTGGGAAAGCGCAAACCCACGTGGGAGACGAGGAAGAAGTTCCTACTCCTGAGAGTGGCTCAGCTCCAGCTATCACGGCCCCTTGGGGAGTGAACCAACAGAGGAAATATTTGTCTCTCCTTTCTAACTCGGCCTTTCAAATCACATAAATCTTTTATTCTTGTTGTGCCTTGTTACCTAATTTTGCAAGATGTTTGCTATTCCAGGGGTCAGGAAAGTGTGTGGTATCAAAGGGCAGCAGCAGAGAACAGTTTTGAGTTTGCTGAAACGGCTACAGGAGTGCAGTGACCTCTAACCATGGACACACAAGAGCGCTAGGAAAACGCAGAAAACCAAATGGGATCTGTGAGCTATCCACGCTAGTGTCCCGGTGTGATGCTCTGACACTCCGCGCGGGGCTGCCCGCCTGTCTGGGGCAGCCTCCCACGCGCGCCCGCCGACCCTGGCGCACTCTGCTTCCCCTCCTCGGCCTCTCCAGTGTCCCCTCGGCAGAAGCGCCCACCCTGGCCCTCTCCCCGCTGGGAAAGCCCGCCCCAGAAGGCCCGCGCGGCCCCGCTGCCCGGCCCCGACCCAACCTGGTGGCCGCCTTGGTGAACACCGGGTAGAGCCGCAGGAGCAGCAGGTACGCGGCGAGCGCACGCCGCGGGAGCGCCCCCAGCCCGGCCTCGGTCCGCAGCCTCGACGCCGCCGGTGCCATGGTCGCCACCTCAGGCCCCGCCGCTTGCCGGTCCTGCGGGGCGGAGGGGCGGCCGCGGCCAGGAGCCCTGCGGGGCGGGGCCTCGGGGGCGGGGCCTCGTGAGAGGGCGGGGCGGGGCCTCGTGAGGGGGCGGGGCGGAGGGGCGGCCGCGGCCAGGAGCCCTGCGGGACGGGGCCTCGGGGGCGGGGCCTCGTGAGAGGGCGGGGCGGGGCCTCGGGCGGGGGCGGGGCCTCGGGCGGGGGCGGGGCCTCGGGGCAGGGCGGACCGTCAGGCGATCCCAGCGGGGCGGTGTCCACCAGCCTCCCGACCCACTCCGCCGCACGCCTCTCCGCGCTTCTGCCCCGCCCCTGATGACACGCCTCCCTCCCCCTCTGATTGGAGAGCGCGACGCTTCCGGTCTCTCGCGAGAGCAGGTGGGAGCGCGCCAAATTTCTCCCGGGAAGCTGAGGAGCTCTGGCGGCGCGATGGTGCTGAACAACACCGGGCGGCGGCGCGCCGAGCTGGGCGCGGACGCCGAGGCCAGTCGGTGAGGGCGCGCGGTGCTCCCGGGTCCGTGGTGGGAGGGACGCCTGCCCAGGCGGCCGGTGGTTCTCGTGCCGCCAGGCGGGGCTGCGTCGGGTAGTGGCGGCCGTGCCGTGCGCGTCGGGAGCATGCCGGCTCAGGCCCGGCCGTGGGCCCGATGCTGGCCTCAGGCTGGTTGGGGCGCGGCCGGCTGTGGTGGCCAGGCAGCGCTGCCAGCTGCGCCGGGGGTCCGCGGTGAGGTGGCGATCGCGCCGCCCTCCGAGGGACTGTCCTGACACTGGGCATGCGGGACGCCAGGGCCATGGCTGTGGTCGTGACTGTGACTGCTGTCGCCCGCTTTCAAATGTGGTGTTGTAGCTGGACAGAAAGTGAAATACAGAGCCGGGAGAACGGTTGTGAGAGGAGCAAGGGTGCAGAAGAGCTATGGGGTGTGTTGGTTCCTGTTGTTGCTGTAACAAGTTATTACTTTAAGTAACAGTAGTTGTCACTGTCACAAGTCCTTAGTAGTTTAACAGTATAAATTCACTCTTTGAGGGACCTGGAGCAATGGCTCAGTAGGCTAATCGTCCACATGCAGTGCAGAAATATCAAATGGGCTGCCTGCTTATGGCCTGGAAAAGCAGGGCAGGATGACCCAAAGCCCTGGGACTCTGCAGCTGTGGGAGACCCAGAAGAAGCTCCTGACTCCTGCCTTCAGCTCTCTCAGCTCTGGCTATTGTAGCCATTCAAGGAGTGAACCTGCAGAAAGAAGATATATTTCTCCTTATCTCTAAATTTCATTTGCCTTTCGAATAAAAATAAATAACTCTTCCAAAAAATGTTGGATATTCTTCCATTAGAGTTTTTTCTTTGTTAGTTTGTTTTAAATTTGAAAGGCAGAGTTACAAAGTGAGAAGGAGAGACAGATTCCCTGCAACTGACCCACACTTAAAATGGCTGCAATGGCTGGAACTGGGCTTCTGAGGTTCAGGGTGTCCCACATGACTGCAAGGGCCCAAGGTCCTGGGCAGTTGTCCTCTGCTTTGCGACGAGCATTAACAGGAAGCTGGATCAGAGTGGGGCACTGTTGCAGGTGGCAGCTTTACCCACTCTGCCAGTGTGGACCCCCTGCCCAGCCCCTATTTTCCTAAATGTTGATGTTAGCCCCTTCGCCTGGGCCTCCGTCTCCAGGCTGACCTACTCTTGGTCTTGCATGAGTCTCAGCTTGTGGCAGGTTGCTGCATCGCCCTGGCTCTGAAGCTGCTTGCTTCATCCTGTCAGCATTCACAAACTGTCATCTCCATTCTGGGTTTGGGCATTTTAAAAGAAACATCTTTCTCCTGTCCGGTCAGCAGTAATGGAGCTGACCAGGTATCTCTTCCCTCAGATTGTCACCAGTGGTAACATCTTGCAAAACTTGACACTGGCAAATAAACAGATTGGTACGATCCACTGACGTTATTATCAAGTTACAGATCTTAGTCAGATTATACCTCTTTTACATGCCTCTAATACACATGTATGCATTTAGTTCTGTGGAGCTTTTTTTCTTTTTTTTTAAGATTTTTATTACAAAGTCAGATATACAGAGAAGATCTTCCATCCGATGGTTCACTCCCTAGGTGGCTGCAACTTCTGGAGCTGAGCCAGTCTGAAACCAGGAGCCAAGAGCTTCTTCCAGGTCTCCCACATGGGTGCTGGGTCCCAAGGCCCTGGGCCATCCTCAGCTGCTTTCCCAGGCCACAAGCAGGGAGCTGGATGGGAAGGGGCTGCCGGAATAAAAATCGGCATCAAATGAGACCCCAGTGCATTCAAGGCGAGGACTTTAGCCACTAGGGCACCGTGCCAGGCCTGCCAGGCCCACCAGTCCCATCTCTTACATAAACATGGATGTTGTGGTTAACTCCAACCCTGCCAACCACACACTCAGCCATCACATAAGCCAGTGAGAGCTGCAGCCTAGTTGGAATGACCCTGAGTAACCCACACTAGGCCCACCCCCAACCCTGTTCGTATGCTTGCCAGTATGTGCATCAGACCGGCCCAATCTGTCCCACATCCCATTCAGCTCTTCACATCAATGGGTGTTGAAGCCTAGCTCAGCCTGACCAACCCTACTATCCAGCCCACACTCATGCCAGTGTGTGCCATCTCTTGTCTAGCCAGGCCCTTCCCCAGCCCTGGTTCTCATGCTCACCAGTGGGAGTTACAACCCATCAGAGATGTGCCCATAGTTCCCCTACTCTCAGTGCTGGGTCTTGTACTTTCCAGGTGGTTCTGCAGTTTAACTTTACAGAATTTGTCCCTGATCTCGGCACTTGCCAGCTGATGCTATGGCAGAACCCAACCAGGCTGCATTTAACCCTGGCTCATTAATGAACCAGTGGATATAGTTGGTTAGCCCAACCTGACTCTCCCCCTAACCCAGTTCACATGCAGGCCAATGGATGTTACGTCTCTGCCCATCCTGGTCTGTCCCTGCTCGCAATTCTCAAGCTTGCCAGTGGGAGCAGTGGCCCAGCAGGGGAGACCCCAGCACTCCCACATGCTGGGGTTGCAAAAGCCACACCCCCACCAAATCTCATGTGTGCTGGTGGATGCTGCTGCCCAGTCTGGCATGGCTTACTTCACCTTGACATTTGCTGGCAGGTGCTATAGCCTGATCCAACTCAATCTGTCCCCAGTTCCAGCTCATTGTGGATACTGCAGCCTAACCTGGACTATCCCCAGGCCTGATCTACATACATGCTGGCAGTACTGCACCCTGGCCTGGGCTGCTCCTAGCCTTCTTGCATTCACCCAAAGGGACTGCGTCCTGACAGGAATTCCCCAAGCTCCTCTATCAGGTTTCCTTCCAGTGGCAGAACTGGCACACACTAGTGAGTCCTTGGCCAAGATTGACTTAATCTGCCTCCTGTCCTGGCAGGAATAGTGGACTTACCCAACTGGCCCACACCCATTCTGGCTTTTATTGTTGGATGCTACAGCTCAGCCACACCTGGTCCATGCCCAGATTCAGATCTCATCTGGTTCAGTGGGCACTGAGACCTAGCCCAACCATCCTATATCCTCCCTAGCTCCCACAAACTCCAGTGGGTGCTGGAAGCTAGCCCAGTCTGATGCACCCCAGACCCAGTCCACACCCATGCCGAGGGACACTGCAGTCATGTCTAACCAAGATCACACCATCATTCCAGCTCTCACACTTAAGTATCCTCCACAGAATTTTCCGCCAGACCTGGTTCTCGCATATTGTTATGGCCTAGCTCTAACATGAACTGTTTCCTTTTCCTATACTCACCGGAGGGTACTGTGATCTAGCCATGTCCCTTAGGCCTCCAGCCCTAGCTTTTGTCTGCAGCAGTGGGTGGTGGTCGGCAGTGGTCAATGCTAACTAGCCCAGCTTTGGTTTCCCACTTGGTTGCATGCATCAGTCTGACCCAGAAGGGTCCTCTGGCTTCCCCACTCCAAACCACTCAGTCTCTGCCTCCTCACATACCTGCAAGTACAGTGGCCTTGTTGGTGGAAGTCCCTCAGAGGTCATTCTTCACCTGCAACATTTTTCCTCAGTGATCCTCTCTCCCACACATCTGCATACTCGCTTCCCTAAGCAATCTATAGACTCTGTACATGGGAGTACATGGGTTCCCCAGCCTGGTGGGATGGCATGCTGGCTTGGAGCTCTGCCTGCCTACCAGAGACCCAAGATCATAAATGGGTTCCTAGACCCAAAGTCCTGTAGTTTAATCAGCCTTTTACCATGCTGTAATTTCTTCAGGATGGTGTACCTTGATGTACCAGAAACATTTTATTGGGCCCAGCTTGATGGCCTAGTGGCTAAAGTCCTCGCCTTGAACATGCCGAGATCCCAGATGGGTACCAGTTCTAATCTCGACAGCCCCACTTCCTATCCAGCTTCCAGCTTGTGGTCTGGGAAAGCAGTCGAGGACGGCCCAAAGCCTTGGGACCCTGCCACCCATGTGGGAGACCTGAAAGAAGTTCCTGGATTCTGGCTTTGGATTGGCACAGCTCCGGCTGTTGTGAGCACTTGGGGAGTGTATGATTGGACAGAGATCTTTGTATATCTGACTTTCAATAAAAATAAAATAAATCTTTAAAAAAAAAAGAAACATGTTATTAGGTGGGTTGAGGTTTGCCAATTCTTTTTTTTTTTAAGATATACAGAGAGGAGGAGAGATAGAGAGGAAGATCTTCCGCCTGATAATTCACTCCCCAATTGAGTGCAATGGCCGGTGCTGTGCCGATCCGGACCCAGGAGCCAGGAATTCCCTCTAGGTCTTCCACGTGGGTGCAGGATCCCAAGGTGTTGGGCTATCCTCAACTGCTTTCCCAGGCCACAAGCAGGGAGCTGGATGGAAAGTGGAGCCTCTGGGATTAGGACCAGCACCCATATGGGACCCCAGCACATTCAAGGCAAGGACTTTAGCCACTAGGCCATGCTGCCAGGCCCTAGGATTGCCAAATTTGATGGCGACATA